CAATTCTTTTAGATACATTGTAAGCCCTAAGTTTGAAGACTAGTTCTCCATATTACCAGGGTCAACAGGTTCTGCCAAGTCAAACTCCCATTTTAATATTAGTTTCTTCTTTGGATTCATAGTATCTCTTGGTCTCTGAAGATTTTTCTGACTCTGTTGTTAGTTCATTGATGTATTTAAAAGTCTCCATAGATAGATGTTATAGTAGTCAAGGTTCTCCAGAGAAACAGAATGAATAGGATATTTGGTGTATGTATATGCCATATACATATACACATATATACATGTATGTGTATGCATATATGTATATGAGAGTAATTGATCGAATGCAAGGAATTGGCTTACATGATTGGGAGGCTGGTAATCCTGAAACCTGCAGGGCGGGCTTGCAGGCTGGAGACTCGGGGAAGAGTGGATGTTGCAGCTGGAATCGAAGGCAGCCCAGAGACAGAATTTCCTCTTTCTCAGGGGATGCTAGTCTTTTTCTCTTAAGACCTTCAACTGATTAGATGAGGCCCACCCAAATTATGGAAGGTAATCTGCTTTATTCAAAATCTGCTGATTTAAATGTTAATCTTATATTAAAAAAAAAAAAAAGCCTCCACAGAAACATCCAGAATTATATTTGACCAAATATGTGGGTACTGTGGTGTAGCAAAAAATTTGACCATAAAATTAACAAATTAACCATGACATATCTATCTAGAAATTGAGACACACACACACTCTCTTAAGCCAGAAGCTTATTTGCCATGCTGCTGGAAACAGAAGTCTAAATTCAGATTTTAAACTTACTTCAGAATTCCCTTACTGTTTATTTTATTTTATTTCATTTTCCTATTTATTTTTATTATTTTTCCCCCACTACCATTTATCCCCAATATACCCTCTCCCACCTCCTGCCCCCGCCACCACAGTCACCACACTGTAGTCTGTGCCCATGAGTTCTTTCTCTTTTTTTTTGCTCAGTCCCCTTACCCGCCCCCCACCAGATCTGTCTACATGCTCTCTATCAGTCTGCCTCTATTTTTCTTTTTAGTTCAGTTTGTTCATTAGATTCCACATATGAGTGAAATCATATGGTACTTGTCTTTCTCTGACTGGCTTATTTCACTTAGTATAATGTTCTCCATGTTGCTGCAGAGACCGTTTCTTTTAAATAGACATTTTCTATGTTAATAAATACCATGATTCACAATCAGATGATTAATCCTTTCCTTGTTTGCTGAAGTAGTAACCCAATTTATGCTAATTTTAGCCATGCACATTTGAAATAACATTACATAACATATTAATAACTCTCAACATGCAGGCTTTGAGATAATATGAATTCCCCCCATAGGAATCCACTCCAAATGGCCTCATTTCAAGTTCGTTAACTACTACCCGTGGCAATACCTTTTTTAGCTAATGAACAAGGACCCATCCTTGGTCTGAATTAGTCTTGAATTACGTTTTTGAATTGTGTGTAACTGCCTTATGAAATTTAACCACACTGCATTTATTGAGCATTCTCTTGTTGTAGTCAGGCTATTTTTGTAGTAAAGACTTATTAAATGTGCTTTTAAAAGTGACATGAATGTTCCATAAAAATGTTCTTGCTTAATTATCCGGAATATTAGATGAACACAAGCTTCACCCTTAATTTGAATGTGTGTTGTTTTGATACAAGGACTAGCAGGGCAGAGCTGGCCATGGAAGGGTGCTTAAAATTCTCTTGCTCATCCATCACCACCATTCCTGGCTCTTTTTTTTTTTCTCTGTTGTTTGTTTACTGACTTTTTGAAACTACTTTTGTAAAGTCTCTATTTTTTTAAAAAATTTATTCTATTAAAAATCAACAACAGTCAACCCATTTTCCCCACCCATGACCCCGAATCCTCTTACAACCACCAATCTGTTTTCTATATCTGTGATCTTTTTTTCATTCGTTCTATAAGATCACACAGATGAGGGAGATCATATGGCATTTGTCTTTCTCTGTCTGACTTGTTTCATTTTTTAGCATAATGCCCTTGAGGCCCCTCCATATTGTCACAGATGGCAAAATTTCATTCTTCTTTTATGTCTCAATAGTATTCCATTGTTTATACATATCACAGTTTCTTTTTTCATTCATCCATCAATGGACACAGGTTGTTTTCATGTCTTGGCTATTGTAGGTAGTGTACAATGAATATAGGAGTGCATGTATCTTTTCCAGTTAGTGTTTTTTTTGCATGGTGGAATATGTGCCCTAATGACTTAGGTACACTAAAAGCAACTAATAACAATAATGACTTAAGTAAACTGTAAACAACTAATAACACTCTTGGTCCCTGGCAACCTTATGTAGCTAAAAAAAGGAGAGAATTTAAGACTTGTGACCTGGGTTAGTCACTGGCCTAAAGAAACAACTTATTGACTAATGCCAAATCTCCATTAATTAGCTCTGAGACAGTACAAATCATTGCTTCCTTTCTGAGAATCCTTTTCTTTGTCTTAAAACAAGGTCATCTGTGGTCTCTTCTTTGACTTTTAAATATTCAAAAGTACAAAATGATGTCTGTTACCTATAGGAGTTGAGAGAATGAGGGGCAGAAATGGGTGAAATGTAGGTGATAATGGCCTCTATTAACTCACTATAGGCCAGCACGGATGCTTTCCCATTTCCTCGTCTTACTGTTTGCCAGTAGAAGGAAAATTCAGTGAAGAGTAAATTGGTCATCAGAATATTCCATCTCTTGAGCAATAAAGTCACCAACTCTCCTTTTCAAAATAGAGCCATTTTTTAGGGTTTCTAAATTTATTCCCAGTTAATTTAATATTAATCATTGTCCAGTTTACTTACACTACCATCAACTTTTACATCTTAGCAATAGTGCCTAAAACCAATTCAATTACAGGAAGAATATTATTTTGAGATTATATTTTACTTAATTTAACTCATTATTTAATTTCCCCAACCCTATAAGGGTTGTTATACTTAGTAGATGAGGAAACTGAAGCCTAAAGGCATTAAATAACTTGGCTAACTACACCCACTAACAAGTTGGATGGATCCAAGCTTTCATTCCAGACAGACACTCTGCCTTTCCATACCTACTCTCTTAGTATATTCTCTAATACGTTAAACAACCAATAGATAATATTTAGTTATATTAAGAAGGAAGCTTGGAATGAACTCTTCTTACTCTAACCAAGAGTCTACTTAAATAGTGCTCTCTTGGGTCCTGGGGAAATTTCAGTCAATGGGACAGTTACTGTACTGGGAATTGCATGGGTAACCCAACATCTTACATTCCTCATAAAATTTTACATTTGGTTTTAGGATGTAGTTAGTGATGCATACTCAGATATAAACATAATCTTGTGTTGTGCTCCTTCCTAGAACTTTACCTCCTAAAAACCTGGCTGGGAGTAACAAAGAAAAGGTAGTGGTTAACCTAGGAGATTGGTCAAATGGGTGAGGTTTCCTCTTAAGAATATATCCAGTTTTCAAATTAGTTAATTGGTCATAGTCATTTTTTCATAGTTACCGAGATTACTTTGATAAGGTCAATAATGTCAGGTTTTTTGTTTCATTTCCATTTTCAAGCCAGCATGGATGCTTCCCATTTTCTCTTCTTACTCTTTGCTTAGCACGGGGCCCAGCACTAGGGAAGCACTCAGAGAAGCTTC